TTTCAGACTTAGAAGTCATGTGCTTCGTTGTATTTTTTAATTTCTTTCAGACTAGTGATACAGCATTCTCTGCATGAATTTGAATTCTCACGAGAACGTTTTAGAAGTCTGATTTTACAAGACTGGAAAATTGGTTTAACGTATGAAGGAACCTGCGTCTATTTGGTATAAGCATGAGGAGTCTTAGCACCTTCAGGTGGTGTATTCATCAATTTGTTTCATTAATTTCAACACAGTAATTTCAGTGTTGGAGGTGTATCCCATTCAGATCACCCTCCAACTGCTGTAACCGAAGAAACTTTTAATACTGTTCCAGCAATTAGTGAAGATGATTCTCATTTAACATACGAATAAAAAGAAAGACTCTGGTATCATTTCGTCAGCGGTTATTTCAGTTATTCTGCTCGACTTAAAGTTCCACAAAGTTTTCCGCTCGATGAGTGCATTGTCAACACTGATGGACGATAACAGTTCCGTATTCAACTGTGTTATAGTTTGTTGAAGAGATTTAGAGGAGACCAATTTTATCCTGTATTCGAGATTATCACTAGTGATAGATCATGGTTCTATCATTATGATAAAAAAAAAGTGTAGTCGGAAATTCGAGTATTATAAACTAACCCACGAGTAGTCAAAGCTCATCAAAACCGTTCAGACAAACGAATCACGCCAATATTTTCAAGGGATCTAGTTTAGCTAAGCTTATGCTATTAGGATCTACTAAACGGAAGTTAGCCTGTCAATAACTGCCCAGCACAAGTTTCCGAAACTGTACAAAATAACAGACCTGTCTTCAAGGTCTCAGTTTGACCGCTGAAAGTCTGGGTTACCGACGAATTTTTGGCAGACAGGCATATTGAATCATATCCAAACCCAGCATATTTTCTAGAGCGAGATCCGTATGACTACCTTCTGCTTTTAAAACTAAATTATCAACTACATGGAATTGGATTCCACAACAACAATACAATGTTACCTATGTTAGAACAAGTAATTGATGGCCTTACAAAACAAAAAAGACGATTTCAAAAACTACTCGCATGACCTTGTTTGATCGAATGCACAAGTGTATTGTTTCTGACGGACGATACTCTGAAAAGTTATCCCGAAACCAGCCTTGAACTATTTGCCTCAAAGGTTAGCGAAAAAACTTTTGGAATGCCTCTTGTACATGCATAGTCAAAGTGGATTAAATATTTGGAAGTCAACCTTCGAATGATTTACATTGATGTCGTTGTTGAAAAAAATCATGATCAAAGATAAATATTGATCAATTCTTACTTTTTCGATAAACAGATGCATGCCAAGTCATCTGTTTGACCACCGTTGTGTCAATCCAGAACGATCTCTCTGAAAAAAAAGAGACGATGACCATCAAATTTTCTACCTATATAATAAAAATGCCAAACATACTTTCCATAATCATCACTCAGCCATTCAAATAAGTTAGCTTTTGCGCCATTAACTGTTCGGTCCATATAATAGACATTCCAGGCATCCTTAGCATAACCGTTGTCAATCCCATTGAATGAATTAAGTTTTTCACCATCAACTTTTCTACTGAAATAATAAACATTCCAAGCATCCTTAACATATTCCAACCCTAAATGGAATGCAAAAGGTCGTGCTAGCTGATCCACACTGGTCTCGTTTTATTCACCATGGTGACCATCACTTACAACTTCACTTTGTTCACGTTGATATGTGCAGAATTTGCTTTCAACAGCTACTGAACATAATAATACGAAAACGATACAACCGGAATTCGTGATAAATCTGAAAAGTATTTTTTTTCTATTAGCGTCCTAGTAAAATATGGCAGATGATTGAACAAAAAAACGATCTTCGTTTGTTAGCTTTTTACTTACTTCTTTAATAGACAGATTCATGTGAATAAAAAGATGGGGAAAAGGAATCGATAATATTTTGGTGTTGACTACTAGAAAAAATGCGGAAGGCTGATATAACCTTTCAGAAACATAATTAGATTATAACCAGATGTTCAAATTTCAAGAAATCCAAGCGACGTTGTACGTATTATTGGAGACACAACCTTTCTGTAAAATATCTTGACTATCACTCTAAAAAAAAATGCGACTTCAGTGATGTGTCTGCTGAGAAAAAGTGTCTTGCATGTGACTATATTGCGTCTTCAAAATAATAGGTGTCTTCGATGTGTCTACTAGTACCCATATAGAAGTCACATGGAAGACGTGTGAACGAGAAAAACGCTTAGTAGTCACATCATTCCGCCTTCCATGTGTCTGTTTTTAATCAAGCTCCTACACGAAATGTCAACGTAAGAGCCTAATAAGACTAAAAACTATAATGTGCCTGTGTGGTTCAGTGGTGAACACATTCGTCTCGTAAGGGAATAGACCGAGTTCAATTCTTGACAGAAACAAAATTTTTTTTAATGCGTCTCTTCTAGAAGACACATCAAGGTGACTTCGACAAAGGCGCTAAAATACGACTAAATGGGATCCGACTTACGTGTCTTTAATGTGACTAGAACGAAGACGCTATAAAGTGACTGCCAGATAAAGTCACATCATATGTCTTCAGAGAAGACACTAAAATGCGGCTTTTCGGGATCCGACTTATGTGTCATCCTAGAAGTCGCATTTTTTTTTTGAGTGTATGACTGTATTTATATTAGTAGTGGACAGGCGACCTGTATTTGTGCGAGGATTGTTGGATTACGCCGAGAATAATGGCATAGCCACGCTAAATAACTAGTTTTCAGTTTCTTGGACTAGAATAATTATTCATCAATGCATCAATATGCACCAAACTGTATGTCAAAAAGAGAGTCTGTGTGGTGAATACCAGCTACAGTCTACCTTAATTCCAACCGTTTTGCTTCAAATTTTTATCACACTCAAAGCTCGATAAACCTGCATAAATGACATGGTTTTGTAGTCTAATTTCGTAGATGAAAACAAAAAAGCTTTCTCAAGCTGGCTACACATGCCGAGATCTCCAGAGACCTTAAAAACCGCAGTTACAAAGCATTGAAGTTATGTGATTTCGATTAGCTTAGTTGACTGGAACATGTGTGCCAATCAAAATCATGTCATTTATGAAAGTTTCATCAGTTTTAGTGGAAACCTAACGATTTTAGAAGCCATTCTAAGCCGCTACGTGAATATTTTACTTAAAAAATTACTTGTGCCATACTTAAAAAATAGTTACTACAAAGTAACTGTATTTTCCGTTAAGGGTACCCCTCCGTCTTGTTTGTAGAAAAATTGTCATTTTGAGCTGAACATAGTCTAATGCTGAGAAAAGTATGGGCTATATAATGAGACTACTCCTAGCTCTCCATGACCTTGCTTGCAAAACTTATGAAGTTTTTTATGTTTTACGTTCAAAGCCTAGAAAAGCTCAACTTTTTTCGTTCATAAATTTTTCTCTCCTTTCCTATATATTCAAAATGTTTTCTTATGTATAGCATGACAGAAGAAAGTGTGCTCTTCAAAATGAGTTGTATTCCAGAATGTTCCGATGAGTTTTCTTAGAGACATAAGCATAGTCGCAAATGCTCTGAAAAACAGAGGCCTGTGTACAGTATGTATTTTTCTCACTATACGTTTTATCAATAGTCCCTTCAACTGGCACACATTATGACCCCTCGAAAAAATGGTCCGCTCAAGCTCAAGATGTTACCACAGATACTTCAGACCCTATCTCAGGTTCGTTCTTTTTAAAAGCGTTTTCGACTTCAACTTTCGGCGTGAGAAGGTTTTCAAAATGAAAAACCGTTTTTCTACATGGAATTTTCAGTATTTTTCGTATATCTCAAAGCATTTTTTTCGAAAAGAATAAAAACGAACCATAGATAGGGTCTGAAGTATCTGTGATAAAATTTTGATCTCGATCGGACCATTTTTTCGAGGGATCATAATGTATGCCAATGAAAACTGGAGTTTTCCAGAAAACTCATAAAAGAACACATCAGAAAATTCTGGCAAAAATACATCGAGTTTCTTTTTCGATATTCTATCTCCGATATAAATTAAAGCCCAATCCGCCATCGGCTTCCCTAGTTCAGACAAGTTAAAAAAAGAGAGGGAGTACCCTTAAATCAACACAACGGGAACTTTACAGTCCTGGTCTGACCTTCAGTCAGATGTATCTAACTCGGGATGGGTCTGACCGATTTACTTGGACATTTTTTCTGAAAGTGCCGAGAGGCCCACGCGGGTGTGCTAAAATTTTCAGAAGTCGAGACAGACTCACGTGATGAGACCGATCGTTTTTCCCTCATCGCGTTGAACAAGTAACTAATATTGCTTGTGCGGTGTTCTACTCATAATTCCAGTGCGCGCCAACCGATCGAGAGCGGATTAGTGTGTGTTACCTAGGTTTAGTCAGCTCTGTTTGTGGTAAAAATTTGATGAAAAACGATTGAAGTACTGACTTTGATACTGACTCTGCAGTAGTTGCACAATCTCCATCCTTCTGCGTAATAGTGTGACACCAAGAAAATTTGATTTTGCAGTTTTCTATAAAAGTAAAATTATTTCCATTCAGTGTGTTATCTGCACACAAAGTGTCATTGGGAGTTACAGTTTGGTGCATATTCATGCATTGATGAATAATCATTTTAGTCCAATAAAAGTGTACTACTGGTATAAATACAGTGATACTCACTCTGCAGTAATTGCACAATCTCAATACTAATGCGTAATATGCGATATATCATAAAAGTTAAATTTCGTTGATTTGAACTATTTGATTTATATGATTGAATAAATGGTGTGATACAACGTGTTCAACTATCTTAAATCTATGCAATCGGGCGATTGCATGTTCAATATAAATCCGGGCAGATATAATTTTCATATTATGAACTATTAGGTTGATATTGACCAGACTGACGAAGAAATTCTGGCATTAAGATATTCCAGTTTTTTTGATTGAACTAATTCACTTATTTAAAAACATTTATCGGCTAAAATAGTAGAATATTTGGATACGGTAATGTATCTATATCAGAACTTAGTGTTAATTCTTTGCCTGATATTGAACCGGTAAATAATTACGATATAAACGTGACAGGAAGATCACGCGCTGGAGCAATACCTACGATTCCTTTGAGGACATTCTTAGCGTAATAAGGATTATACGTTTGACATCGTAAATTCAAATTACCTGTTTTGTGTATATAAATAGGATAGGTATCGATAATCATAACCGGATTTCTGATATCGGTAAACGATGCATGAAAATTTTTCTTCATCGTTTCTTTATCGACATACCTGGGAATTTTTGAAAACTTCAACTACATGTAGTTTATCATTTACCAAAATAAGGCGATTGCGTACTTTCACTCACACCAAAATGTTTTGTTAGATCAATGAATGGAACATCAAGTTTTAGTTTCTTCATCACCAAAAGAAATTGTTGTGATTCATTTAATTTGCGTGCTCGTGATGTATTACCTCGAAAAATATTTTCACCGTCAGTGACGCCATTCATCGATTCCATTACTGCTACAGCCAAACCATACTGAGTGAATTCTGTATATAGTGTTATTGCTTCATCGTCAGACTTGTAAGCTTGCAATAAAAGTGGTTCGAGTTGTAAACGTAAAGGCGAAATCTCCATTTGTAAATCTTTAATAATACTATCACGATCGTATTTAGTGGAAATGGACATATGACTAGAATCCCGCGGGAGCGAACATGCGCTTCTATCTCTAACTTTGCCTTTTTCGCCGTGACACGGGAAAAGAGGAGAAAAGTACTGAACTTTCTTTGTACGGATATAACAGATGAATGATTTTAATTTAAGATAGAACAATCCCGACCTGGAAATGTTTGATTATGGTCGAGTTATAAGTAGAGGGACTCACTATTAATCATCTTAAATAGCTT